TCCACCCTGCTCTGTGCATGACGGGGCGGCGCCCCAACTCCCCAATCGGCCCTGCTCTGAGCCTGACCAGGGGCTGCACTTAGGGATTGGGCCTGCCCTCTGCCACCCGGGAGCGGGCCTAAGCCAGCAGGTCGTTATCTCCCGAGGGGTCCCAGACTGCGAGAGGGCACAGGCCGGGCTGGGGGACCCCCCCTCCCCCGCCCCCCAAGTGCACAAATTTTTGTGCACTGGGCCTCTAGTCTATATAATAAAAGCCTAAGTGACCATTATGGTGGAATGACCAGTCGCTATGATGTGCACTGACCACCAGGGGGCAGACACTCAACACAGGAGCTGCCCTCTGGTGGTCAGTGCGCTCCCACAGGGGGAGCGCCATTCAGCCAGAAGCCGGGCTGATGGCTGGCAAGCGCAGCAGCAGTGGTGGGAGCTTCTCCCGCCTCCATGGCAGTGCTAAGGAACAGCGAGCCAAGCAGGAAGGTGCGAGGGGTCCTGGACTGCAAGAGGATGCAGGCTGGGCTTAGGGAACACCGCCCCCCACCCCTCAGTGCACAAATTTCGTGCACCAGGCCTCTAGTTAATGAATAATAATAAACTCTGTTTCACATACTCACAATGTTAACCTACCTTTGCCCCACCCTGTAAATATAAAAATAACAATTAGATAAGATTTTCTTAATGGGACAGTTGGCCTTGCCTATTCATTGCTCTATTCCAATCTGAAACCCAGGAGGACAATATGCACGCATCTTTAGTGCCCTATTGAATGCGTTTCTTTCCTCCAGATCAAGGTGGAAAGCCCTGGTTCACACCAGTGGGTCTTAGTGAAGCGAATAGTATCACTACGCTGCTCCTCCTCCTAGAATCAGACCCTGCAGTCATGGTGAAGTTAGTCATCCTGTTTCTGCATTAAATATCACAATATGCAACCTCTTTCTGAGCGCCGAGTGTAGCTCAGTTAGTGATTATGAATTTGGAAGCTATTGCTGGGTACATTTTCCACATTTAGCTTCTTCCCTAAAAAATTCTGATGATAACTATGAGAAAGAACATGGAGAAATGACAATGTTGCTGACTTTATGTTGTTTAAAGATTCTTTATCATATTCTTCTCAGTGTGTAGTGACAACGTTGAGAATCCATAGGCCATGATATTTCAGTCTTGCTTCCAAAACAATAATAATGCATGTTGGAGGGAGTCTTTGGATATGTTCAACGTATTTTGTTTATTGCTTTTTCCTTGTCTTTCAGATTTAGGTCATTAGAAATGTTGAAAATACTGGTAAAATATACCAATTTTGTTATATAAATCTCACCTTAAAAATACTTGCCAAACAAGGTTCATTTTTCAACTAGAAAAATGTAAGTCTTATTTCCAGTTTCATACATCCTACTTACTATTTTTACTTGCTGCAACCAGTGAACTTCAGTATTAGTAATTTGCTGTAATCTGTGAGCAGATATTTTTAAATATTCAGTGAGCTTCCATTAATGCAAGTAAAACTTTTCCTTAAGGCTTTCCATACATCAGTAAGAGAAGCCAGATTACTTTTGGGACAAGCTTTGTGATGTATAAAAGCCATGGAGCAAAAAATAAAATAAAATAATAAAATAAAAAAATAAAAGCCATGGAGCCTGCCGGTGACTCAGTGGGCGGAGTCTCCCATGCACCAAAAGGAAGTGGCTGGGTTCCCGGTCGGGGCACACACTTCAGTTGGGGGTTCAATCCCTGTCGGGGCGCCCAGGGAGCAACCAGCTGATGGTCCTCTCGCTCCGTCCTTTCCTCTCTGAAAATCAATAAAAACATATGCTCGGGTGAGGATTTTAAAAAATTATAAAAGCCATCGATAGCCTCCATCAAGATTTTTCATGTTTTTCTAGTCCTATGTGTTTCTCCAACAACCACAAACCCTATAAGATTTTCCAGTATTGTTTATATTAACAAACCGTGCATTTCCCCAATACTTTAAACCTAGCTTTGTGTGAAATTTATTTTAAATAGCACAGTAAATACTCCTTAAAATTCTGTCTGTGTTTTATGTGACATAAACTAAAAATATCACACAGTGTCATTGTTCTCATGAAGCTGTCACACAAAGTCTACATGAGACCATGCCATCTAAATGTTAAGCTAAAGTACAGCTGAGACCGTGTGTTGTTATAGTACCACCCACTCTATCCCCTGCTCTGTCATCAGACACCGTCTGAATCACCCCCATTCCTGGAGGGAGAGGTGTTTCATTCACCAGCTGTGTGGACCATGGCTTCCTTTGCTTGTCACACAAAGTCTACATGAGACCATGCTATCTAAATGTTAAGCTAAAGTACAGATGAGACCGTGTGTTGTTGTAGTACATCAACATCAGTAAGAGAAGCCAGATACACCCACTCTATCCCCTGCTCTGTCATCAGACAACGGCTGCATCACCCCCATTCCTGGAGGGAGAGGTTTTTCATTCACCAGCTGTGTGGACCATGGCTTCCTTTGCCACTGAATCCACAAATAAAACTTTTCATTCACGTTGGCAGAATGGTTAAATAATTTTGGTAACAATTTAAATCAAGTGTGCATACCTTTTCCTCCGAAGTTTTCAAAGACTTATCAATAAGTTCCTCATGCTGTTTCCAAATACCTCCTTAACATGAAGATGGAAAACTTTGATATTTATTTTCAAAGAGTTATTGTGAATATTTTTGGTCACTTTCATTTTAAATAGTCCCCTTGAAATGGCTTAGACTTTATTTTTCTTCCTTTCCAGAATCCAGGGTAAGCAAAGTAGAAGTTTGCATTGTCAGTTTTTCAATCAATATTAGAACTTCCCCATCCAGCAGTTGAACTTGAACCTGCAGCTGTAGTTTTTACTTCATCGTTACTTTTCCCCAATAATCAAAAAATTAATTTAAAGGAAATGTGTTTGTTTAATTTTAAAATGTTAAAATTGTCACCCACTTGAAAAATGTCACAATATGCTCTCAGAAAAGAAGGCCTTTAATGGTGGATAATTATGTGTCCTACTTATCTCAGAATCTCGTTGGGAGAATCAAGTGAGTGAGTGTTGGTAGGGCTCTTAGAAGCACTTGCATACAGCAGGCCACTGTGGTAAGGGTCTCTGTTGTAAGGCTATGACATTGGTTCTTGCCCCCTTTCTTCCTTGCTGCCCTTCTGGAAATAGCCGTTCAGAGAGCCAGAATTCTCATGGTTTCTCAGGTGTTCTGTGGTGGTTTGGTCACACAGTGTGTCTCATCCCTTATTGGGGAAATTCTGCGTCTGTTAATGTACCTTAAAACCACATCGTCTTTTTAATTGACCTCATTTATATATTCATGTATTCATTCATTTAATACAACTGGTGGAGTTCCCCTTGTATGTCAGGCCCTGAACTAGGCATAAGATTCCAGTGTCTGCCTCCTGGCTCATTATAGGCACGAATTGATTTTACGGTCAGTAAACAACTTTGGACTCTGTGTCTTTGTTTATATCATTTTCTCTTCCTGGGAAATAGTGCTCATATATTTAAACTCTGTGGCTCCTTCAAGGTATAATCTAAATCCCATTTCCTTTGGGAACAGTAGCCCAGTGGTTCACAAACCCTGTTAAAATCGATTCCCAGGCCCTAATTCCGCATCATCCGCTGCCCATCTTCAGTTGGGCGATTCTGATGCAATTGATCAGTGTACCTGCTGAAAGAGTCCCCATCCCTGTCTTGAGTCATGAATTCATCGTAACCCTTATTTCATTTAGGATCTATTTGATTGCGATGACAGTGGGGAGATTTACAATGAACTGTCCCATTTTGTCTTACAGTTTAAGGGGGCTTTTACATTCATTGTTGTATTTTCTTTTCTCGATGTTCATGTGAAGTAAGTGGTTAGTTGGTTGTAGTTGTGGCCAGTGTGCGGATGAGGAGACAAGAGGTTCGGACGGGAAGTGACTTGTTTAGTTCACCTGAGGGAAGGCTACGGTTTGATTCTAAACTCCTGATAAGACGGAGATTGTAGCATTAACTTCATTGTTATTAAATCCTTGACAGTAACATCTAACTTTTCATACATTTCATCCTTATCTTCCCAATTTTTACTTAAGATCCTTTAAAGCAGGAATTGTAACCCATACTAACTTGTATAGGGAATGCCTAGAGCAGGTCTCACACACAAGAACTCGGTCAACATTAATTGCTCTAATGAGCAAACAGTTTCCTAAAAGAAAGAACTCTATACCCTTCTTTAAATAGGAAGCGTGTAATCGTGTTAGTAGTTTAAACCGAACTAGGTACTGTTCCTTTCACTGACAAAGTACCCTGTGTATGTTCCCAGGGGTCTCAGGGATTAGTTTAAAATCCAGTTCCCAAGTCAGAAGGTCATGTGTTTGTAAGTAATGAACATGCTCTTCTACGTGTTGTAGAGCTCACAAAGCAGATGCTGCTAGAGGCAGTTCTCGCCGGAACTCTCTGCTGTGACCACATCTCCTCTGTTCCAGGGACGCCCGCCTCCCTTAGCTGGTGCTGGCACGCGGGCGAGGCCGTGGCCTTTGCTCCCCGCAGGGGCCCGCTGCTCATCTGGACCATCTCGGGGCCGGACAGCGGCGTGACCGTGCACCGAGACGCTCACAGCTTCATGTCCGACATCTGCACCTTCAGGTGGCACCCCCAGAAGAAGGGCAAAGTCGTGTTTGGTCACATGGATGGGAGTCTATCGATTTTCCAACCAGGTGAGGATGTTCTTAGGGCTCCTACATTTTCTTTTCCTTGGCTTGTGTGACATCTTATTTACACGGCAGAAAGCCAAAGGTAACAGAATTTTGATTTTTAAGTAATAGCTGTGCAAGTATTAGCCAGCATCTTACTGATTCCAAATAATCATTGGAAGCTAATTTACATCTCAGGCCTTGTGCATTCAACCCAGCCATGCGGATTTTACTCTGATGTGCCCCGAATCAGGCATGCGTCCCATAGTTTTACTTTTTAAGTCAATTCTTGGTTTCTGCACACTTACTAAGAAAGCGGCCTGAGGGGGTAAGGACATGGAGCTGGAATCCTTGATGACCTACCACTCAAAAATATTCTCCCACCTGCGTGTAAAATGCCATTCAGACGCCCCAGATCCTCAGCCAGGTCTTTGGTCCTGGGGCAGAAGGAAAAACAACTCTGTAGACCCCATTAGTTCATCACTCCGGCTGAAGGAAAGGGTCTGAAAATTTTGTTTATTTTTAAAATTTAAACGATAAAATGTCTATTGAAAACTTCCCTGAATGGCTTCCTGCTCATCACAGAGTCCTGCTGGCACCTGAGCAGCGTGCTGTCAGCACCCGGCGTCTCTGTGGCTGGGGGCTCCTGTTTTCAGACCAAGTCACATGCTCAACAGTGTCACAGATACTCCACATCCTCTGAAGGGACACAGTTCTACCACTGAGAACCCAATAGGGACTTCTTGCTCTCATTTACGCCCCAGGGCTTTTAAGAAGTCACACACACACCATTAGGGAAGGTGTCATCTGGCCATGCCTTTTCCCTTTTGTGTAGACAAGAGCAAATGGGTCTAGAAGAAAATGCTGCTTTTTGATTTAGACAAGACACTCTGCTGTGAGTTTGAAACCTTGGAGCTGTGGCGTTATACTGTAGCACGCAGCTTCTTACTTTTCCCCCCGAGGAGCGGCCACCCTCACCTTGTTACTGACTTCAGACAAGACACTCTGCTGTGAGTTTGAAACCTTGGCGCTGTGGCGTTATACTGCAGCACGCAGCTTCTTACTTTTCCCCCGAGGAGCGGCCACCCTCACCTTGTTACTGACTTCCCGCCCCATAGGGTCTAGTCTCTACCTAACAAGATAGAATTTCCGTCCTCCAGGCTCCTGCAGGTGACTGCTGTCCAGTTTATCTATCTTGGAAGAAGAAGAAAAGGGAAATATTCACGAAGGACTGCCCACAATGAGGCAGTTCACCCATTATTTTAAATCCGTGATTTCAAAATTGGGATTATGAGTATGTTTGTATATCTGTGTGTGTGTTGGGTAGAGAGGAGAAGGGATCCAGGAGACTCAGTCAGACTAAAAGCACCACTTTGTTCTGTATTATCTGTATTTTCATGTAAAAATCCTCATATGCATAGAGGGTTCCAGGGCCAAAAACGTTGGGAAACCACTGCTTTACCTATTTCCAGTTATATTCTTGGACAAAGCCAGCTCACAGAGAATGTTCTTATCTTCATCACAGAGCTGTTTTAATTGACTTGACTCTGCTGTTACCCCTAGGAGGGCATTAATCAAGTTTGCATTGTTTTACCTTAGACATGTTGTTGGTGACCTTGTCCTCGTACAACACCATGTCCCCGTTTGGAAGCGCTCAGGGGAGAGGCATTTATTTCTGGTGTCAGTTCTAGGAAACGTTGTGCTTCTCGTCAGTACATTTTTTTGTTTGTCATTTTGTTTTATTTTTATCCTATTGTGCCACCTTTCATGATTGCTTTCCTCTTGGCTTTAGCCACCGGATCTCAAAATCAAAATTTCAGCAGCTCTTTGGATTATGCATCATCCTCATTATTTTATTTTTCAACCATAATTTTCCCTTGCCCCAGTTTTTGTCTCTCATACAGAAATTGTCAACCTCATGTTACCAATTTATCGCATGCGTCTGTCCTTATCTGACAACACAAGGGGCCTGATATTTGTATAAAAAAATAGAACACAAGTAATAGCAAAATAAATAATGTAAACTAGAATATTATCAGCGGTTATTCTAATGACTGGCTTTACATTTATAGATTCATTTTTCTATCTTTCATAATAAAAATGTTGATACCTGATAGAACAGAAAATAGTGACTATAATTCTTTATCATTTTGACTGTAAGATGGGGCTTTGCAGCAACATGATTTAGATATTATAACATTTTCATTGTAAATTTTATCATTTTTTGTTGCTATTATTTTTTTATATCCTGGAATATTTTTAATAAGTCATAGATGTTAACTGGCACATGCAAATACCTAAAATTAGTAAAGTACAACCTAGGTCAGGGGTGGGCAACCCCAGGCACGCGTGCCAAACATGGCTCGCCAGTAACTTTTGCTGGCATGCGAAACCCTCTCTTATAATCTTCCATTTACAATTTTTTT